GACAAGTGAATGTCCTGTGGTAAACACTTTAAACAATTTTACAAGGAAAATTTTCTTTGACGAGTGCGCAATATGAGAATTACATAATAACAATGATAGCAAGCAGCTCTTTGAGATTAATGTAATAAGAAATTTTGTTTTTTATTTGTATTAAGATTACTAGGAAAAATAAACATTACTAGATATGAAATTCCATGAGTACTTGTTATTTACAAACTGTTATATTTAAAAGTATATATAAATATGTGCTAAATCATTTATTTTTTGCAATTTATTAATAGTCAATATTTAGAGCAGTTTAGATTTACAAAACAAATTAATCAGGTAATACAGAGTTCCCATATAAATGCTACCATCAGAAGTGTACTTTCTTATTAACATATTATCTCAGTAGAGTACATTTGCTATAATTACTGAACCAATATTGATAAATTCCTATTAACTCACCAAAAGCCAAACCCATTGCCAATGTCAGTTCTGAGGCATAGCATCCCTATACAGGGTTTCACAGACCATAAGTATTTACATGGGCACACAGTCTCATCCTTCACAGGAGAAGCAGCTGGTGGGTTTGAACCACTAACTTTGAGATTAACAGCCCAATACTCCTTTACTATAAACTACCTCTATGCTTTATTCATGTTTCTCTGTTTTTCACCTAATGTCCTTTTTGTCTGTCCCAGGCCTTATCTAGGCTATGATGCTAAATTTAGTAATCAGTTCTCCTAAGCCATCTCTTCATTGTAACATTTTGTCAAACTTTCCCTGTTTGGATGACCAAGACAGTTTGTAGAAGTGCTAGTAAGTACTTATATATTTTAAGATGGCTTTCTATTGAAATTTGATCCCGGCACCCCATAAGTAGACTTAGGCGATAGTTACAGGAGGAAGATAACAGCTGAAATGTCATTTCATCGCACCATATTCTGGGTACATACATGTTTATGAGAGTTGATGATGACTGATGATCTGGCTGATAGAGTGTTTGTCAGGTTATTCCACTGTAATGGCTTTTGGTCTTTTTTCTACATTGTACTCTTTGGAAGGAAGGCCTTATGTCCACATGTTTAGAGACTCAGAAGTTACCTTACTTTCGGGAGAGGTATATACATAATTTTATTGGAGTGTTTTCTGCCCGAGTTATTTGTTTGTCTTCCCCGCTTATTAATTTGTTAAATCATTTATTTATATCATCATGGACTTGTGGATTTAAAACAAATTGTATGATAATTTGACATGCCTTGTTTGTTTTTTTGGAAAATTTCAGCTGTAGCCTTTGGGACCTCTGTCTGTGGGTTCTTGCACCCTGTGACATGTCCTCACAGTTTTGGAAGGCTCTTCTTTTCTTTTGAGGACATCCTTCTTTCTGAGTTTCTGGATGACACAATGATCCAGACAGTCTTTACTGCTCCTGCCCCAGTTCTTGAGCCAGGAATTTCCTCAAGGATCCCTGGTTTGTTTGAATGGGCAATTTTATTAAGGAAAATATCTGAGTCCTAAACTTGCTTTTTTCTACTTACGTGTCATTTCTTTTAGGCAGCAGAGAAATATGTGAATGTGGACTAACAAGTGCACATGTCTATATCTCTAACAATCTTTCTATATGTGACCATTTTGATCTATATTAAGCTAAACATGAATTCTTACAGATGTCTCAACTCGAGTCCATTAGTAGTTAGATTATTTTAGCCTCTTCCCTTTGCTTATCTATAACCGCTCACACCAACAGTGAGACATGCCTCCCAATATCTGTCTTCTCTTTTAGTGTTCAATTCTTGTGCATATGCACACCAATATCAAAAGTCATTAATCTGTATCCCTATAAGAAGCAACTCTATCAGCAATATTGCGATCCTTATACAGTGTTCCTGTATAAGCAATATTGCAATGCTTATACAGTGTATATATACAATGCTTATACAGTTTGATGTTAGTCTCACAAATTCCACTCTGTCTGTTTAAATAGGTTGTTTCCTCTATTGTAATACAGTTAGGTTAGCTTTTCACACATTTTGGTGGGGGGTGGGGGGAACCCCCAAACTTCTCAGTAATTAAAAGAATTTTGTTTGTGTACTTTAAGGCTCCGCTCTGTGTTATAAATTCTACAAGCTTGCCAAATACACAAACATAATTCAAGCCAGGGAAAGATGCCAGTGTCACCTCACCCCCCCAAAAGCTCATCAAGTGAAATAAAAGATGAAGACGATGCTCATTTGTTTGCTTGCTTGTTTTATTGATGCGAGAGGGATAGTGTACCTGGAATTCATTCCACCATGTCAGAGGCAAAAAGACCAGCATGGATCTCTTGTCCCATGCACTTTCCTATCCTGGCCTTACTCTGTGTGACTTCTTTTTGTTTCCGCGAATGAAGAGGGACATGAAAGGACATGATTGGTGACATAGAAGAGGAGGATAAAAAATGAGGGAGGTGCTTCCAGTTATCCAAACAGATGAATATGAAAAATGTTTCCAAGATGGAATTGCAGATTTGACAAATATATTAAGTGTAATGGAGAGTACTTCGAATGTGATAAGGTTGCTTTGTAAAATAAGTAAATAAATAGCTTTGTAAAACCCTTTTTTTTTTTTGGTGGGGGGCGCGGGTAATATCCATTTAGTAGTATATACTACTACAGATGATGTTTCCACATATCTAATCTTTCCCTGAGGAATTCTGTACTCGTAGATCAATACTCTTTAAAAACTGGAAGTTTGGAACTCAAATAGCATTTCTTTTCAATATCCTTTGGATTTTGTGAATAAATGAAATCTGAAACAACAAGATCAGAGCTATAGGGTGAATGGGCTGAGATTTCCCAGTGAAATTTTCATTGGGCAGCCTTTGACACACTTGAAGAATGGTTACCTTCTCCAAAACTCACAGGGGCACTTCTACCCTGTCCTAAGGGCATTACGAGTGGCATCAACTTGATAGCAGTGTTTTATTTTCTTTGGCATGACAAATGATGTTGAGTTTCTTTTCTCTTTTTTTCTTCAGTTTGAAATGAACTTGTTTGTCATTAGACTCCAGGTCTGCTTCAGCTTTACTTCTCCTCACCACCATACCCCCACCCCCTCTTTTCTCTGAGGGGTAAGGAATCTGGAGGGATGTTTCCTTTTAAAAGCACACTCTATATAGTTTCATTGCTCTCTCAACAAATGTAATCAGCAGCAATAGCCCATTATGCTTTTCATAAATGTGGTTCTTTCTTTCTCCCCACATCTTATCCTTCCTCCCTCCCTCTGCAATGTTCTATTCCTCCCCTTTCCTTGCTCCCAGCCTTGTTCTGGGCCTCCTCATAGTCATCAAAGTCTCCTCTTCTATTGTAAAACCCATGCTTCTTTTTCTTTGTTTTCCCTCATAATAATGGTGCTGTTAAATATTTATCATTGTAAATTAACTACGTTTGCTAAACGTAATGCTTTCTGGTTTCATCTGTGACGTCGATGAGAGTGGTCATTGTTTTTTATTGATGCATAACATTCTATTGTACATGTGTACCAAAGTTGGTTTACCCATTGCTCTATAATTAGAGTTTTGGGTTGTTTTCATATTTTAATATGGTGGAAATGCTGAAAGCAATCATAGGTATGCATATGTCTGTTCATGTTGTATCCTTTATTTGTTTAGAGCATTTACCCAGTAGAGACATTGCTGAATAATGTTATTTGTGTTTGCGTTTGTTTAAGGAAGTGCCCTGTCGAGGCTAGAGGCACGCTTGGGTCCTGGTTATTGCCTGGGGGTGTTAGGGTCCTCGAAGAACAAGTGCTGACCTTATTCACCGGCTGTGCGTCTCGTGGCACACTCAGTCACCAGGTTAGCGACATGCGTCAAAAAGACAAAAAACAAAACAACCCCCCCAAAAAGGAAGTATCCCTACTGATTTTCATAGTAGTTGTGCAGTTTTACAGTCCTGCCAGCAATATAAAAGTATTCTATACTTTTATAGAGTAAGTCTATAAAAGTCTCTCTGCACCCTCTCCAGCATTTATTATTTTCTCTTTTATGGAATTTTGATCAAAGTGTAGGTGTGTGGGAGTATATCATGGTTGTTTTGATTTGTATTTCTTTGATTGCTAATAAACTCAAACATTTCTTCGTGTGGTTGTTGACCACCTGACTGTCAGCTTTGGTAGATTGTCTATTCATGTCTTATGCCCATTTCTTGACTGGGGTATTTGTATTTTTCTTGGTAGCTCTTTATCTGATGACTTATGAATACATTTTTTCCTACTCCATTGGTACTTGCTTAAATTTTGTGCTGAACTCTTTTGATGGCCATAGATACCATATTTTTAGCATGTCTCAATTCTTTATTTTTTTCTTCTAAAATGTAGCTATTTTTCATTATGTTCAGTAGGGCGATTATGCCTTGCATTAATGTCCTTAATTTTGTCCCAATTTTTCATTGATGGTTTATAAATTCATTGGGTGATTTATATGTCCATCTTTGATCCATGTTGAACTTGTTTTTGGATATTATGTGAGGTATGAGTCTTGCTTCATTCTTAGGCAAGCAAAGATCCAGTTTCTCCAGCACCATTTGTTGAAAAGGCTATCTCTTCTCCAGTTAATGTGCTTCAATTCATTCAAATTAAGTGTCTATAGGTACTTGGTAGTATTTCTGGGATTTCAATTATAATCCGTTGGTCTCCATATCTATTATTGTACCAGTAACAGGCTGTTATGATTATAGTGACTAAGTAGTGGGTTTTCAGGTCTGAGAGTGAAGGCCTCCTACTTTATTTTAAATTTTTATTCGGTTTTATTTATCCTAAGCTTCTTTCCTTTCCACATGAGTTGGCAATAACTTTTTCTATTTCTTTGAAAAAATTTGGTGGGATTTAGATCTCAGAATTCCATGGAATTAGTAAAGTACTATTGGTAATATTGACATTTTTCACAATATATAGTCTGCTATCCGGGAAGATGGCAACTCGTTCCATTTGCGTATGTTTCTTTCAGTTTCTTGAAGGAGTATTTTGTACTTTTCTCAGTATTTTGTTTGTCTGGCAAGATTTATTTCTAAACATTTTGTCTTTTGTGTAGTTATTGTAAATGGTATTGTTCTTATTATAACTGTTTTGGTATAATCATCCTTAATATACAAGAATTCAACTTATTTTTGTATGTTGGTCTTATAACTTGCTATGCCGCCAAAGTTTTCACTTCCTTTGAGCAATTGTTTAGTAAAATATTGGGGCTTTTCTATATATAGGATGATGTCATATGCAAATAAAGAGATTTTTATTTCTTTAGTGTCTATGTGGATAAGTTAAAATTTTTTCAATGTCTTATGGCTCCAGGTAAAACTTCCTGAACTATTAAATAAATGTGGTGATAAAGGGCTACCTAATTTATTTCCCGATTCAAAGAGGAAATTATTCCAATTTCCCTCTATTAAGTAAGGTGCAGGTTATTGGCTTCTCACTTGTGGCTTTTATTGTATTGAGAGATTTATCTTCTATGATGGTTTTGTTACTTTGCTGAGTATTTTGTATCAGAAATGGTTGTTAAATTTTTCAAATTCTACTCTTTATTGATTGATATAATCATATGGATCATCTATTTTATTTTGCTTATATAATGAATTACATTGGTTGTTTTTCTAATGTTAAACCATCCTTGCATATTTGGTATAAATCCCACTTGATTGGAATGTATTATTTTTTTATGCTAAGTTGAATTCTGTTCTTTAGTGATTGTTGAAGAACTTGACATCTATAATATTCATTAGAGACAATGGTTTGTAATTTTTAATTTTAGTGAGTGATGTCTTTGCCTGGTATAGGTAGAGTTATGTTTATTTCATTAAAGGAGTTTCATAAAATCAGAGTGTATTAGTCTG